TAGCGAATACAGAATCCAGGAAGTAACAACAAAACATTTTAATTATTTTTAAAAATTCATACTTCAGCATTTTTATTATTTATTACTTCTGGTGACTTAGCTTCCTCTGGGTGCTTAAGTCCCACGTAAATATTCTTGTGACAATTGTGTTTCATCTTATGCCTCTATACTTTGCATCTAAAGATTATATAATTTAGAAATTGGCTTTGACATAATTTGATAAAATTGGTGTAATAAGATTAACCTTTTTCTTTGGTCCACAGGTTTGCTCTCTGACTATCATAAACCTTCATAAGTCAATTCTGTAAGTTTAAGAAATGAGGAACATGGAATGGAGGTGTCATTTATTCACCTCTATTGTACATTCTGGAATTATATTTATTGGGCTTTATGGAGTCTAAACTAGCAGGTTAGGCTGAAAGATAACTACCTCAGTTTTCTATTCATCTCTAAGTATTATAAATACGCTGTTTGATAATTTTGTTCATGTAGTTGACACTGAGTACAAACTTATTAAATAAGAATTAATTAGAAAGGGCTTCACTCAGACTTTTTTTGCATGTTATGATACCTAATGTAGAATTTTCTAGTTCGGTTGACATATTTTAGATAATTTTTATTTATTTAATTTTATTTATTTAATTACTAAAATGTATATTGTATGTGTATGATAACATCTAAAAAGAAATTAAAATATGTGTATAATATTTCCAAAGCTATTCACTTCTCTAGAAAAAAAGACATGGTTATCAGCTTGATTTATATCCTCCAGACCCATATCTGATCCTATCTAATAATAGACAAACATGGTAATTGACCATACCTTCGCTACCCTTCCCATTGGCTAATCAGGGCAATATGCAAATTTCCGGCCAACAAAGATGGCGGTTAATTTGCATACGTAGGCACAATGCTGGGAGGCGAAAGGGGAAGGACAGAAGAAGCCACTTGCTGCTGACGGTGATCGGAAACCCAGGCAGCAGGCAAGAGCCGGGTGGCAGTGCAAAGGCCGCCTTTGCCCTGCCCCCTGGGCCGTGATCGGAGAACCGGGGC